GGCCAGCCCCACAGGCTGCCATTATCAGCCTCTCCTCTTCACCTTCCTGTGTGCTGTCCATCCGACCCCTGATCCACCAGGCTCCGAAGGACCTGCTCAGATCGAAGCAGCTGCTTTCTGGAGAGGAAACGTCCTTTCCCCATTTGTCTCCAGACAAAGTGGGGAACCGGACCCTTAGGGAGGCTGGGGGCTCCTGGGCACACGTTTGGGTGCCGACAGCCTCGGGGTGCCCCAAGCATCGTGGCAGGGATGGGGAGAAGGGGCTGAGCCACCTGCCCCACTCACCACGACTTGGCTGGCTTGGAAATGCAACCAGCTCCCGGTCCTCACCGTCCCCTCTAGGATCGGCAGCCCCTGTGCAAATCTTGACAGCAAAGATTTGCAGCACCCAGGTCATTCTCGACCCGAGAGTTCAATGTGGAAATTTCCTGACCTGTTAAATGGAAACAGAATGGCATCCCTGCCTCCCAGGGGAGGCAAAGTCCCCCCATCCATCAGGCGGCGGCGTGGCCCTTTGTGACCCCCCCCGTGGCCCCCGTCCCACAACCGAGCCAAAACGCGCCCCATCGTGCTCGGGGCGAGCACAAAGCCGCTGAGTTCCTGTTTGCAACCTGGGGCCTCGGTCCTGCTGGGGCTGGGTACCTGCGCACGGCGTCACCGGCACCAGGCTTGTTGTTGTGAGACCCGACTTATCAGTGCCCTCGTGCTTCCCCGCTCCGGCCGTGCCTTCCTTCCGAGCCGATTGTTGATCACAAAGTCTTGTCTGCACTCGAAAAGGAGATTTCCTGCAATTGTTTTGCAGGACTTGCAGCTTGATGCAAAATTTTCTGCCTATCAGCCCCCTCCCCAGTGCCAGGGCAAGGCTCAAGCCCACTCCCTTCCCCTGCAAAAGTGCGAGGCAATCACAGCTCAATGATTAATTGCTGCCCGGCCAGAGGTGTTTCTGTGGCGATAGCCATCTGCCGTCAACTCCTGCGACAGCTCGGAGTAACAGGCAGTGCTGAGCTGGCAGAGATGTTCAGCTTTTGGCCTTTTTTCCCAAGGAAAACCCTGAGCTCACCCCGGCATCGCATGAGCGTCAGGGACAGGCAATGGCACATTTGCCTTAACTCACCCGAACCCCTTGGGACTCCCAGAGCCGGGGGAGGACCTGGCTCAGCTGGGTCTATCCCATAGGATGCATTTTCCCCTCCTGTCCACAGTCGCAGTAGGACCCGGGCAGGATCCAGCCCCTGAGACCAGTGGGGCCACAGCAGCCGGGTCCTGCGGGAGTGATGGCAGAGAGGACCTGCCCGGAGGAGCCCCGAGGAGCCCCACTCCATCCTTGAGCACCTGCAGCTTCGACACCGACACCTGCCCCAGGCCTCCCCATGCCCATTCCCAGCCCCGCAGCAAAATCAAATGGGAGCCGAGCCCTGGGGCTGGAAACCGAGTCAAATGTCATCGGCGCTGGGCTGTCTCAGGATGTCAGACCACGACGGTCATTTCCTGCCGGGAAGCAGCCAACAAGCCCACCCCGAGCTCTGCGCCGCTGCGGCTCTGCTCTCCCAGAGGTGCATGAGCCACCGAGCCGAGAGGATTGCCACGCTCCCTGAGCAGCCCCTCCACGCAGCCTTCGGCTCTGCCACAGGTGAGCCAATGCCTCTCCCTCCCCGCCTGCGTCGGTCTGTCCCCTCTCCCACCAGCTTCTCTCAGGACCTGCAGCTTGGCGAGGGCGGGAGGTCAAGGAGCCTCAGAGACGGGGTGGGGGCTCCAGCCCTGGGGGCTCGCTCTTCTCTCCTCCATGGTTTCGAGAGCAGGCGGGTGATAGCTGTTTGCCGCAGGGCTGACGCTTTTGCAGGGGACGCCTGGCTGCGATGCTCACCGGCTCGCTGGGCTCCAAGTGCCACGGAAATGCCCCAGCAGCACTGCACGCTCCTCCGGCTTTCCCGGGGGAACGGCTGGTCTTGCGAGCTCTTCCAGCGGCACGAGGCTGAATGGGGTCCACAGCATCTTCGCCGTGCGGATGCAGCTGGGATCGGAGCTCTCACACTTGGGGCAATAAAAGGATGTTAAGGTCAACTGCATTTCCCTTAAGTTTATAATTTTGTCACCTACTTGGAAGTCCTGAAAGCTCCCAGCAATGCAGCTGCGAGACGAGCAGAGTGAGGGCGGCCGGCTAGGTTTATAAGGCGACCACACACCAAGGGCTCGGGTGGGGGACAGGGGCTTTCCTGCTGGATCGGAATCGAGCAGACGTGGTCGCTGGCGCATTTAACGGTCCGGGTGCCTGCCCGCATCCTGGACGCCTCACAGCCAGTTGCTGCATGCAAGGGCAGAGCGGCAGAGCTGGGGTCAGGATTCCCACAGGCTCCGTGGTGGCCAGACCTCAGCTCCAGAGGTGTTGGGGGGACAGCATGAGCCTTGGCAGGGGGGCTCCCGCCCAAAGGTCGCTGCACTCCTGGGTCATCAGCTCCGTTTCTGCAGTGACTGATGTTGCCGAGCCTCGGAGCTTTGTGGGTGCTCTCACCTGTCCTTCATCCCTCTCCTCCATCGGTCCCTAGCACTGCTTGGCCCTGGTCCCTGGCCCCAGCTGACCGGGCTGTGGGACAGGGACAACCACCACCTGGGAGCATGTGTTGGTGAACAGGTGGCTGGGGTTTGTGGCTTGCATTTCGCCTGGGGCGTGAGGTTATCGTCCAATGTGGATACAGCATCTTCTGAGGGCTGATGTAGGAATTCACCATAGGAATAAAAACTGGATTAAAAAAAAAAAGCAGATGGGTACTTCCAGACCCTCCCGCGAAGACTGAGCTCTGACAGGAGAGATTGGCTGTTTCTCTGTATTTCCAAGCTGTCTGGCTCAGTGTAGCCACTGAGCCACAACTCGGTGCTTTCCCTTTCCTTGCAGCTACCAGGATGGCTGAGGCGACCACTGCCCCCACCGAGACGCACACTCTCCTGAATGAGTACGGGGACTACCACAACTGGTCCGAGCTCTTCCACCTCCTGAACTACACCTACACCTTCTGCGAGTTCAGCCTGGATGAGAACATCAAGCGGGTGATCCTCTTCATCCTTTACCTGGTCATCTTCGTGGTGGGCTTGGTGGAGAACCTCCTTGTCATCTGGGTCAACTGGCAGACACGGGGCAACAAGAGCTTGGTCAACCTCTACATCATCAACATGGCCATTGCTGACCTCGGAGTGCTGCTCTCACTGCCCATCTGGATGCTGGAGGTGATGCTGGATTACACCTGGCTCTGGGGCAGCTTCCTCTGCCGCTTCACGCACTACTTCTACTTTGCCAATATGTACGCCAGCATCTTCTTCCTCACCTGCCTGAGTGTGGATCGTTATGTGTCCCTGACCAGCTCCTCCCTCTTCTGGCGTAAGCACCAGCACCGTGCACGCCGCATCATCTGCGCCTGCAGTTGGGTCTTGGCAGCAGTGATCCCATTCCTGGAGGTTGCTCACATGCAGCTGGTCAATACCGGAGAGCCCATCTGCATCTTCATGGCCCCCTTCGAGACCTATGACGAGTGGGCGCTGGCAGTCAGCTTGGCCACCACCACCATTGGGTTCCTCATCCCCTTTCCCATCATCACTGTTTTCAACATCTTGACGGCCAGGTTCATCAAGCGCACCAAGCCGGAGAGCAGGAAGCACTGTCTGCTCATCTATGCCTATATCGTCGTGTTCCTCATCAGCTGGCTGCCCTTCCACATCATGCTCACACTGCTCACCCTCGACGGCAACCACATCATCCTCCACTGCACCTTTGCCCACTTCCTCTACTTCTTCTATGACATCATAGACTGCTTCACCCTGCTCCACTGCGTGATTAACCCAATCCTCTACAACTTCCTAAGCAAAAACTTCCGCAGCAAGCTCATCTCCGCCGTGGTTAAGTACATCCCCAAAGACCAAGGCAGCCAGAAGGGCGCAGACAATTCCTCCTCCACCACGCAGCACTCCATAGTCATCGCAAAGGACAACAACCCTCCCAATTAAGGGGGATCGGACTCTCCCACTCATCACTGGCAAGTGGGGCTATGTTTTGGATTTGTGACCAAAAGAGTGTTGATAACACAGGGATGTTTTCGTTATTGCTGAGGTCAGTAAGATTGTTTTTCCTGGTGATAAGCAGACACTTTGCTTTTAAACAACATTTCTTGGCTGGCCACCTCCTGTGCTCTGAAGGCAGGGCAGGGTGCCAAATGTGAAATGAGGTGGTGCGGGGAGCTACAGACATCTTGCCTCTGATGTGCTGCTGTATCAGATCTATTTAGCTAAAGAAAGAATACGAGAAAGAGGTATTTCCTGTTTTCCAAAAGAAACACTTGCAGTAATAAAGTGCATTACTCTGCCTGCTCCGAAGTCTGAACACAAATCTGGCCCTAGGACCTGACCCCCCTACCCACCCACCCCGAGCCACGGGGCTGGGGGCACACGATCCTTTCTCTTCACCACAAGTTTTTCTGCAGGCCCCAACTTTCACTTACACGTGCTCCGGATACGCCGCGCTGCAGAGGTGTCCGGTGAATGCTGCCCTTCTGCCGTGATGCCATACCAAACAGGAGAGAGGAAATTCATTCCTTTGAAACACAAACCTCTTCTCCCCATGCCCCGCAAACATGATTTTACAGAAATGAAGGCAACGCAACCCTGAGGGGCTGAGCACAATACAGACCTGAGCTTTAATGAGGGGAGGAATGATTCGAGATCACCGACTAGTTGAGAGCAAATTTGCAAACCCAGCAGTAAATTAGCGATGGTTAAAACTGGGTTTGACTGGGCACGGCTGCTTCCAAGCATGACCGGTGTCAGCAGAGGTAGGGTTCCCAGTTTGTGTTTTGCAGCAGGAGACCCATCCCCTTAAACCCAGCCTCCTTTAGAGCATCTCCTGGCAGGTTTCTAAGGCCACTGGGTGTGTTTCTAAACGCTGGCAGACTCTGGCAGCCCTTCATGCGTGCTCCCTTTCAATCAAAGTCGCACTGAAGCACGCCCCATGGGAACGCGTATGCGTGTAGAAACCTTCGGAGCTGAAGCGCGGGCTGGGCTTTGGCTGTGTAAGAAATTGGAGCATCCAGGGAAAGTTCATTGTTGTCCGGATTCTGCTAAGTCACGTGCTGCGGGTCAAGCCCTTGGCAGGGGAAGGTGGAAGAGCGACAGTCACTGGAAGGGAGTTCATAAATCTACCAAAGGCCTTGAGCTGCTCAAGAAAGACATTTTTAAAAAAGCAAAGCATAAGCAAATCTAGGGACAGGATGCTTGCAGCACAGAGCGGTGGGTGGGGAGCAGGATGTCCCAGGCTGCAGGAGAAGCCCACGACCAGGGGTTAACACGGGCGCACAGTTATCACGGGACTGGCTGGGAACAGCTCTGCTATTTACAGGGGTCCTGTGACAGAGTAAATCACTAAGTACTTCAGGACTCCTTGTGCACAGAGGTGTTCCTTCTCACTACCAAGGGATACTAACTAGCATTGACAGAAAAAGCCAAATCTGTGTCTTAAACAGAAATATTTTGTACTACAGCTGGGGAAGAAGCTAGTCCCCTCAGACACAACAGCACCCTGTTGAGGGAAGCAACTCACGGCTGTTCCTCTTCCTTAATTATGTTACTTACACACAGTTTCACAACTTGAGTGTGTAGAGCCACTTAGACTGTAAGCCCTCGGGGCAGAGGCTGTCCTTCGGGATCTGCACCGACACAGGACCTCAGTGCCTTTGTCCCCGTGACCCTCCTGGGCACAACGCGTGCAGCGAAGCCGAGCAGCCCCAAAACTGGCCAGTGAATGCGAAGGCAGCTTCATGCTGACGTGACCCACAGCTCTGATCCTGAATCTTCCCTAAGGCTTCCTTTTACTGATACCCTGCCATTTTCAATGAAGACATGGAAGATAAGTACACAATAAGAAGACACTTGAGGTGTGACATAACCAGGACAGCAACATATTCAATTTCAAGTTACTTAAACATGTAAAACTTGGTAGTTGACCTATTAAACTTGTGTTTTTTTAACTCTCCTAATGCATCTGCAACTTTGTTCATAGACCTCAGGGCCTGAGTGGCCTCAAATAAACCCTCATACAGCCCGACGCAGTGATCTGGGCTTGAAACCCAGAAAGTCCCTTAGCTGGGTCCCTCAGCCTCCCTTTAAAGCCTTCACCTCCCCTTAAGGGTAAACTGGCCCAGCCACAGGCTCCTTTAGCAATTACTGACTATATACCCTCGGACCACCCTCCCAGCTTGAATTTCCAGTGCCCACTGCTGGTCACCGAGTTGGTGATGGGGAACTGGTCCTGTCCCACCAGGTAAGCTCTCCCCAGAGCAGCTCTGCCTGAGCAGCTCCAGTGGCAACCGAGACCAGCAGCCCCGGCCGACGGCATTGCCCAGCCAGTGGGTTGCCCCAACCCCGAAATGAGAAGGAAGCCTCACTGCTGGAGAAAAGCTAAAGTGGTTCTTGAAAATGCCAGCAGCGTTTGCCCGCTGATCTGGCTTGCCAGCCAACAGCTCCGAGCCTGCGAAGGTCCAGGTCTCGGTGAAACACAGCACCGGCAGCACAGAAAGGGCTTATCAAGGAACACAAACCCCGAGAATTTCCTAAATGGTTTCTAACGAGGGCTCTGCTCCCAACCTGCTGTGGAAGCAGTCTGCAGAAATGCCAGTCGCTTCTCCTTGTGCTGCTCCGGGTGCTGGAGAAGGCAGTGAGGAAGAGGCCCCGGCTGCCTGGACTCGTGCCACAAATCCTGCAGAGCACAGCACAGGAGCAGGATACCAGGAACAAGCTCACGTGCTTTCCCAGGCACTCCTGAAGAGACAGAAATGCCAATCTGCACATTTAAAGAAACAAGTTTTATAAAGAAGCAAGGTACAAGAGGTCAACATTTTCCATTTTATTATTCTAAATAAAAACCACACTTTGTGCTGAACAATGGAGTATAAAAGAACCCGATGTACAACGATTTTAGACATCTACTATTTGGGGGGAAAGTTTACAAAATATACAAAACTTTACAGCAAATAGATAGTAAACACTTAAATATCAGGAGGTCAGTACCTACTATTAACTTAACGAAAAGGTTAGACAGCAATTCAACTCTTTTACTTCTGCTTAATTATTCTGAGACCTGGATCCTTTGAGAAAGGGAAGAATAAAACTGAACTTTGCGGTTTAGAAGTTGGAGTAAGACCAGTCTCGAAGCACTGCCTTTTGGAGGGGGATTTTGTGTCAGGGTTTCCCGTGAGGACCCACGACCCGGCTGCTCTCTGCAAACACCGCCAGCACAGCTCACGGCGAAGTATTTCCCCTCTGCATTTCCCTGTTGCACCCCAAGGATCCCAAAGCACTTTGCAAACACGAGTTAAACCTCACAGCCGCCCCAGGCGAGGTAGGTAAGTGTCGCCCCCACGTTCACGGGGTGGGGGGAAGCGAGGCCAGGAGGCGAGCAGGCTTGACAAAGGCTGCACCACAAGTCAGCGGTGGAGTGAGGAACGGACCCAGGCACGGGGTTCCCACCCTGGCTCCCCGCCACTGCGAACGGCGCTTGGCCTCCGACGCAGAGCCGTGCGCAGCTGCACCCCCAGCACACGCACAGCCCCGCGCTGCTGTCCGGGAGCCCCCGCCACCACCGGGTGACTCTACCATGACACAGCCGCGTCGGAGCTATGGCTCCTTGGGGCAACGCAGCCTGCAGGGGACTCAGGACTTGCTCCATCCACACAGCGTTCTGGAGGAATGCTGGAGCTCCCAGCCAGGCTGGCCAGACTCAGGGACAGCCACACTGCTGAGGGGATGGGGACGACAGAGCTCTGGCGCTGGCCGCAGGCTTGGAGACACCCAGGACCCTGCCAGGGGAGGGAGAATGCAGGTCTCTGACCCCTCTTGGGACAATCCCTTTGAGGAGGAGCTGCGGCATGAGGCCAGCCCAGTGCAGGAGTGCTGCAGGTCCAGATCTGTCCCCCCATCCCCTCTGCAGACGGGACTTGCTGCTGATCTCAGCATGTTTCACGTGGGAATAATTCATTATAACACAGGAAAGAATCCAAGACACAGAAATGCCAGGGACCCAAGCGCTCCCCTCCATCCCCACACCCAAAAACGACCAGCAGAAAATGAGGTGGGCTTTTGCTTTCCCATCCCTGTGCTCAGAAGGGTGGGCTTGCTTTGCCCATTAGTGTTTCAGTGTAAAAGCTTCTCTTTTTGGTTTATGTGCACAAAAGGCTTTTGCTTCACAGCTTAGCTAGATATGGGGCTGCAGATGCTACCACACGGCAGCACCCCAACCCATCCAGAAGCTCATCACAGCTTCTGGGACATTTTAGGAGGGTCTCAAGGCTTTAAGGACTCGGCTCTCCCAAGCCTCGTCTGCCTCCCTCACATCCTTCACTGCAATCTCCAGAGCAGAGCAGGTCGCATCCGTTCCTGTCTACCAGCCCATCTTGCCACCACCAGGACAACAAAGAAACCCCGTAACTCAAAGAGCTCCTCAGAGGAGCCTCCAGTGAACCGCCGTCAACTCCCACGCTTTCCTAGAGCGCAATGCATTCTTGAAATGATTTTTTTTCCTTTAGACTTAACAACACTAGGCTAAACATGGCTCCGCAGACCAGCTAGAGATCACAGACCACAGCCTGGCAACTGACTGGCACTATGAGAATGGAGTTTGGAAACCAGAGCTCCAGTGGCAGACACGGCACAGCCTGGACAACCCCCGGGTCGGCGATCATTTCAGTGCCTCTCCTCTGAAAACAGGCTCCAGGCACCAAAATCAGGAAAAATCCAGTTTAACACTCCCCAGGGCGATGCCAGCTGGCCCCAAACCCAGCCAACATTACAGGGATTGGGGAAAGGACACAAACTCCCAACAGCCTCATCCTCAGCCTTGTCCTCTTGTTCCTCCTCAGCAAGGTCCGTTCCTCCCACCCCACCTCCGTGCAGCGGGATCAGCCTCGGGTATTGCAGGTCCACGGGGTGACCGAGGACGACCCACGCTCAGGATGAAGGAGCTGCCTGGGAAGAGTCATTAGGTCCAGCCAGGGCTCAGCACTGCCGGCGGGGACACGGCTCGACACAGACTCTTGCCTCTTCTCCCGTCACAGCGGAGCTGGACCTGGACCTGAAGCTGCCGCGGTGGAAACGCAGCTTTATGGGCAAACCAGGGGGATCGAAGAATGGATGGAGCTGAAGGGCAGGGGCTTCCAGCAGCTGCACACCTCTGCACCCTCCAACCCCTCTCTCCCCGGGATGTCAACTCCTCCCGCTCCCTCTCCCAGCTGATGGGGAGAAGTGCTCTGCAAACCTCAGGGGACATTACAGAGCTGCTACCCCTCAGCACACACACTGCCGCTTCCCCCAGCCCCTCCACAGACACAGCGGCACTGAGCCGTCCCCACTTCTTATATTGCTACAGAGCTTCTTTACAGGACTGCGACAGGGACGGGGCTAAAGGGAAGTTTGGTTTCGACGGGGAAGGCTGTAACAGGAGTAAACCGACCTGGCCAGGTCCGGGACTGGTAAAGAACAGGAAAGGATGGAGGCTGTCATTTCCCTAGGACGCTAAACATCAATATTCACTAAGCGCTTTGCGTCTCCCACACGCTTTGCAGGTACAAGCCAGCAATCTTCACCGCACCCCCGGGAGGTAGGTAGGTACCACAAGTGTTACCACCCTCATTTTACAGATGAGGAAACTGAGGCAAAGAGGTGAAGTGACTTGCCCAAGGCCACAGCGGAGCGAGGGGAGCGGCCCCCAGGAATTCCTAGCTCACCAACCACACGTCCAGCCCACCCCGCTCCTCTGCCGCGGGTTGTCCCTTCAAAAGGAGGGGAAAGTGGGATGAGTTTACAGGGTTTGCAAATCACTAGTTTTGTTTTGTAACAGCATATCTTTACAGAAGCGCAGGAGCCAATTTACTACGACTGTGGCTTGAAAACCCTGAGCGCTTCCTGTTTGTGAGGTAGAATGAGTTACCTAAGAGCAGTCATAACTCATGCTGCGGCATCGGAAATACTTGTTCCTCTCCACCTCTGCCCCACAGCAGGATAACATGGGAAAAAGCCGATCCCCACCCTTCCTGGTGTAAACACTGCCGGCAAGGGGCTGACCTCACCAGCGCAGCCGGGAGAGCCCACTGCGACGAGGAGTCCCCAGCCCGCACCCGACGTGCATCCAGGAGAGGCTGAGCTGAGGTTCTCACCAGCTGCTATTGCTGCCAGCTCCCAGAGCTGCTCTGCCACAGCCCCTAGCCGGTGCCTGCTGAAGTTACAGCATGATTTGACTAAAGATGAACGAACTTACGTCGCACCAACAACATCTTGCAACACACATTTGCCACTAGACATGTCTACTGGCATCATGGGATGCAGTGATCCACGGCGGCAGCCACGGGAGGGGGCTATCCGTTCAGCAGAGAGAAGAGTCCTCAAAGGTACCTTCCTGGGAGTTAAGGCAACAGCTTCATCACGTCTTGTCTGCTGGGATCCATGCAGCTGCAGCGATGCCGCGCTCTGGCATCCAGCGCTTCCAGCAACTGGCAGCCCTGGGACACACCATGCCGGCAAAGCACAACGTGCAGGGCTGCTGTCGGCAGAAGAGAGCTGAGGAGACATTGGCACGCTCTCGATGGCCAGCTGCAGGCTGGCAGAAGTTAGGCGTGACCGTGCCATCACAAAATACCTCCTAGGGAACAGTTGACCCCACGACATGAACCTGCTTTCCCTGCCCTCTCCAGCGTCTCCTCTGAGAGCTCCCTTTGCTCACGCATCTGCCTCTTCCCTTCCACGCAGCCGCCCCGCTGCTCAGGCTCTTCAGAGAGGTGGTGTCACTCCTTCATCTCCACCTTCAGAGATGGGGTCTCGGGGCACAAGCAAGCGGCATGTCACGGGCACAGCAGAGAAACAGCCACCCACGCTCCCTGCTCAGGCAGGGCTCCTGGACACCAGTAGCACTGCCTGGGAACTGCCCTTGCGAGCGACAATCACCCTCCTATTCATTTACCACCAGGTATCCCTCCTCATTTGCATGTGCACACTCACACGCTGCTTGCTCATCTCCCCTGCAACGGAGCAACGACTTCAAGGCTGATTCTGTGCCACGGACTTTGCTTATCTCCTCGCAATAGCAGCAGAACCCCGGTGATGCCCAGAACAAGTCTTTTTTTCCTTTTTTCTTTCTTTTTTTTTCCTTTTCTTCGAGTCCAGCACCATCCTGCTCTGGCTCTGTCCCTCTCTACTGAGGTCAGGTGTGAAAAATCTTAGCAGCATCAGTTTGTGGACAAGCTCAAACTGAGGGTTAGCCTAGTCAAGTGGGCTAAAAGGTTAAAAAAAAATAATCTAGATTCAAAACCTAGTGAGAAATGCTAAAAACACAGAACTCGATGGCCTCTAACAGGACCAGAGGTAAGTAAACACGACAGACTTCTTGGAAACAGTGATGTAGCTTACGTGCTGTTAATTTGTACAATGCCACCAATCTAAAAAGCCCTAGCAAGGCCAAAAAAAATTTAAAAAAAAAATAGAAAAGGAGGATTCCATCCATGATGCCTGACCATTAAATAAAATAAATGACATTTTTTCCACAGCTTCTGTAATTAGTATTTGCTCCTTTGCTGGCCCTGCCCTGCCTCACCCCATCAGCTGTCTGTGTTTTTCTCCGCATCTTTGGAATGGATGATATACATGAAAGTCTGTTCGATGGTGAAGTCCGGGGGGAGGCTGCCTTTGTGCACGCCTATGTGCTTGCTCATGAGGTTGAGCGTGGAGCTGTAATGCCCGCACACAGTACAGCGGTACATGAGGGCTCCCGAGTGCGTCCGCAGGTGGCACTTGATGGTGGAGCGACCGCGGAAGAACTTGTGGCACACCTTGCACTGGTAGGGCTTTTCTCCGGTGTGGATCCTCCGGTGGTAGTTGAATTCACTGGTGTGGGCAAACCTCTTCCCACAGACCTTGCAACTGTACTTGCTATTGCCTGGCTGGTTTTGCAGCGCCAAGTCTTCGCTCAGGAACTCCTCCGACAGCTTCCTCTTCTGCAGGCCCTGCTGCTGGAGACGGTCTCCAAAGCTGGGTCGGATGTCCAGGCTGCCCCCGCACTTGTGCTGGCTGACGTGGTAACGATACGCTGCTTCCAGCTTGAAGCTCTGACCACAGAAGTGGCACCGGAAAAGAGCCTCCTCCATGTTCTGGTGAACGGCCAAGTGCTTCTCCAGGAGGTGCCGATCCACGAAGCTGTTGGCACAAACAGAGCAGGAGAAGACTG